CGAGCACCCTTCCACTGCTCGCAGATGAGCGCGCGGGTGTCGAACTTGACGCCGTCCAAGTGCATATGCTGACTATCGCCTGAACTCTGAGCAATCCACCAAGCGACTCGGCTGCGGGCATAGCCTGGCCACTATCCCACTGATTTCTGGCCGCGTGGCATACGCATGGCCCGAATGTCTTGCAGCTGAAAACATGTGCGGGATGCGTGGCGTAGAACTTCGAGGATGTCTGGGCGTTGCCGCGTCTGCGCGGTCATCTGCACGCCCCGTAAATCCCCCCAGTGGCCGAAGGTCCTGGTGGCGGAGCCTGGTATGATGTGTCCTGTGAAGTCCCCCAGGCGAGACCAGCTCTAGCCATGCCAGTGCTGGCGTCGTCGAAGTCGGCACCGATGAAGGGTCGGACGTCCTGCAATCTGCAGACCGCGTCGGTGCGGCAATACTTCGCCGTTGCCTTGCCTTGGGCCGGGTCGACAGGCGCGACTGTCCCAGGGCCCGCCCAGCCTGATACGTCCTGTGTGCTCGGAGGCCCGTGCATCTCCGCCTGGTTGCCAACGTTGAAGCGGCCCTCGCCGAACTCTGTAGCGCGTGTCCGGAAGGGGCGGCTGGCGCGGGAGACGGACGTAGGATGCCTCGCCCGATTCGTCGGCTTCCAGCGGTGGCGGCATTGCGGGCTGCCTCCCGAAGACGACGTTGCATGGTGTGACGCCGCCAACGTGGGGGAGGCTGTTGCCTGCGAAATGGCCTGAGCAAGCGTCGAGTCAAAGTTGCTTACAACACCTTCGCGTTCTACAGTTGCTCCTCTGGCGTTGAGTGCATGTCGTAGCATAGCCCCACGCCGCTCGATGAAACGAGCGCGCTGTTGCTGAGCAGGGGTATGCCTCTTCATCTCCTCCGCGAAGTATGTAGAGGTCACGTTCTCTCCGTTCACACAAAAAATCATCCTCGCACCGAATACTTGGATCCATGATCGGTCGACTGCTGCAAGCAGCGTTGGGTCGTGTTTGGACTCGACATCCTGGGCGTTGTGCCAGCGTGGGGCGCGGCAGCTCAGTTGCATGACAATATGATACTTGCTGTAAAGGATGTCGCACTTGCCCTGCTGGTGGAATCGCATTGATAATCCTGGCGTGCTGGTGGTTGCCACTTGCGGCATTCCTTACAGTTGTTGACCACTCTGGGTCTGAGGTCGGGGATGTCCTAGAAATCTTGGTTGCGCGTTGTGCTCGTGCCTTTTCCTCCTTACTGGCGGGCCACCACCAGGGGTGGAGGTTGCGCAGCTCACGCGCGCTGCTCATGCGAGTTCTAGCGTAATGCTCGCAGCGACGTGGCGACGTCGAAGCGAGTCCAGCCGAAGGGATCGGCGCGTCAGTTGGCGTTGCCAACCGATGGGTCGGCGGCTCGTCGTGCTGCTCGCCTCGGCAACGCCCCTGCCGCTGGAGGTTCGCGGCCGAATGCGAGGGTCCGCGAACCTGCGCTGGCTGAGCTCGCGCGCGTGCGCAGGGTGATCGAGATCCCCTCCTTGCGGCGGCTTGGGCACTCCCGGGGGCGCTCCCAATGGATAGGAGCAGCGCGAGGGCATCGGAGCGCGGTTGGATCCCTGAAATGCATGAGCGAGTCCACCCGCACATTGCGCTTGCACGCCCCGCGCGCAGAGCGCGCGTTCGGCGGCCATCTCGCTCCGGATTTGACCCTCTTTGCATCTAGGCCCTAGGCGCCACTGGCGGAAGGGCTGTCTCGGCGACGCCGCGCTCGCGAACGTAATCGGCATTATGCGAGCGCCTAAGGCGGCGACGTATATCCAAGATAACCCGCGCCAATCTTTCGGCCAACTGCCCGGGCCAAATTTGTGCGTCGAAGCTGCTTTGGCTCCCGACGTGGGTCCGATGGTGCTTTTGCGGCAATTGAGGTTGCCGAAATGCCAGTCGATCTCGGGGGCGTGGGCGACGGGCCCCGAGGTCTTCCCCAAGTTGCCAACGCGCCGATCAAGGAGTCCGAGTGCACACTGGTCGAAGGCAACCTTGGCCACGCCAGGTGCTCCAAGCACGCCTGGCCGCGGCGAGTCGCGGTGCTGCCGCGACGGGTCGGGCGCGAAGTAGTTGCCCAATTCCAACTGCAGTCGTGCTATATGGTCGCAGAACCGCCCGCGTGGGGCAGCGCCCTGGTATGACTGCAGCCATGCGTCGTAGCTAAGCTTGTAGTTACACTTTGCCCAACGCCCGACTGGTCGGCACGCGGGGTCCACGATGGCCACTAGAGAGGCCGATGCTGTCGCATGTCCCTCTCAATTGGAAGTTGTTGGTCGCCGTCGTTGGGGCCACAGCCGGTGGCCCAGTCGAGCTAACAAGTTGGCCACCAAAAATCTCGATGATATCAACATCCTAGTCGAGTGTAGTGAGGTGAAGAAGTGGTGAATGATGTACAACTCGGTAGGTTGCGACGTAGCTTGCGCACTCGTCAGTCGGCCTTCCGTTGCTGGGGCCAACGATCCTGCGAACAACCATGTAGGCAAACCTGAAATAAAGTTGCCGCGCGGTTCGTCCTCGCCCCATTCGTCGGCGTGACCCGGTTCGCCAATTTCTGGGATGCCGGGATGCCTAGAAGATATGAAACGAGGCCCGCGAAGTCCGAGCCGCCGTCGTCGTCGTGGTCCTCGACAACCTGTTTGCGTGGTCCATCATCCTTATATTGTTCTGACGTGCGCGCTCAACTGCAGGGTCGGCGCTGGCAACGTAAAAGGCCCGACGCCTCCCGTGGCTGTTGGTCCTGATGCGTCGTTGCGCGTGGCTCGATCGAGTAGTTGCGCGTGGCTTGAGATTTGTTGATACTGGTGACTCGAGCTGTGTCGTTACTGGTGACTCGAGCTGTGCCGTGACTGGTGATTCGAGCTGTGCCGATAATGGTGTCTCGAGCTGTGTCGTTACTGGTGGCTTGACCTGTGTCGTGATGGGCGACTCGGCTGCATCCTTCCTGGTGGCTCGATCTGTGTCGTTACTGGTGACCCGAGCTGTGTCGTGACTGGTGATTCGAGCCGCGCCGCTACTTGTGACTCGAGCTGTGCCGTTACTGGTGACTCGAACTGCGTCGTTCCTGGTGACTCGAACTGTGTCGATACAGGTGACTCGGGCTGTATCGTTACTGGTGACTCGAGCCGTGTCGTGACTGGTGACTCGAGCTTTGCCGTCACTGATGTCTCGCGCTGTGTCGTGACTGGTGGCTTGACCTGTGTCATGATGAGTGGCTCGGCTGCTTTCCTCCTGGTAGCTCGAGCTGTGTCGTTACTGGTGTCCCGAGCTGTGTCGTTACTGTGACTCGAGCTCTGTCGTTACTGGAAACTCGAGCTGCGCCACTACTGGTGACTCGAGCTGCGCCGTTACTGGTGACTCGAGCTGCGTTGTTCCTGGTGACTCGAGCTGAGTCGGTCCAGGTGGCTCGAGCTGTGCCGTTACTGGTGGCTCGAGCTGTGACGTTACTGGTGACTCGGGCCGTGTCGTGAGCGGCGCCTCGAGGCTGTTGTGACATGGTGCATGTTTGGTTTTTTCGTTGTCTTTCTGAGCGCGCCGCTCGGCGTCGCAAGCGCGCTCGGAATCGCGTTTGCCAGGCGCCATATCACAGGAAGAGGTGTTCGAGTCTGGCGCTGAAGTCGCTGCTGTGCCTCGTCGAGGACGCGCTTTCCTCTGCGCGCCGCTGCTCGTTGAAGCAAACATGCAACAGGGGGCCAGACGCAACGCCTCGCGGTACATCAGTGGCAGGCACAACCGCCGATTCGCGGTGATCCAGTCGCCGATGTTATCCTCCAGATTGACGCCGCGCTTGCACAGCTGGTCGGGCACAGTTGGCGCGCGCGCGTCGGTCATCTGCTTCGCGGCGGGGCGATTCCAACATGGACCGCGGATGCCGAAAAATCACGACCCTGGCGCCTGCGTCCATGACGCGGGCACGCAAACTGGGCAGTGAGTCGAGGAGGGCCCGAGGGTCAGATGGGGGCGAGCGTCAGATGGGGGCGAGCGTCAGATGGGGCCCGAGGGTCGGGGAGGGCCCGAGGGTCAGATGGGGCCCCAGGGCGAGCGCCAAGCCACATGGGGCCCGAGGGTCGGGGAGGGCCCCTCAAGGGGCCAGGCAAAGCCCAAGGATCCAAGCCCGAGGTCGAGGAGTACAGTTAACCCGTATCAGAATGACGCACGATAATTGGCGGCGAGCGCGGGGGGTAAATGAGAAGGAGAAGGCCTTCTCAGAAGGCGGCGTGACTTCTCAGAAGCCCTTGCGCCTTCTGAGAAGTTTTTTTCTGTCTTCGGGGAAGGCTTAGAAAATTTCTCAGAAGGCCAGGGGACTTCCGAACCTTCTGAGAAGGCCTTCTCCTTCTCACTTCCCCCCCTCGCCCGCCGCCGAGATAAGGACGCAATGGCCTTGGAAGGCAGCTTCGAAGCCTCTCAAGCGGGGCGTGGTCAACGAAAGTGGCCCAGGATGGACCGAGGAGGCAAGGATGCAAGGATACCCTCGGGAAAATCGCCCATTCTTGCTATGCGGGTTGACGGTCGGATGGAAAGCCGGGCTGCAAGCCAGAGCAAGCTGGCCACGCAACGGGCGCAACCGTCGGCCCGCAATGCGGGGCGCGGCTCGGCTGGATTAGAGACAGGATCGGGACGAACGGGAGGATGCTCGCCTGTAAACCTCGGCGCGCTGCCTTGTCCCATCCTCCTCCCCCTCCTCCTCCCCCTCCATCCTCCTCCTCCTTGGTGCGAAGAATACACAAAGCTTCGGCGGCCGGCGACGTCGGGCGAAGAATAGCGAGACGGCGGACCGACGACGACGAACGACGACGGCCGACGCCCGACGACAACCCCTTGGGGGGAAGACTTATGAATCTCTCGCCGCCGGGGGACGCTGATCTGCGCCCCAAGAGAGGACGGGGAGGGGGGAAGCACTTTACTATTCCGGGGCTCACCTTACTCCACCTCCACCTTCTCCTCATCCTCTCATCCTCTGCGCTCTGCGTCCCAGTCCTTGGCCGTCTCCTTGCGCACGACGCTGCCGCTCTGCGGGTTTGACAGGGCTTGCGCACAGAGAAAACGCAGACTAAAGTGATGGCAGCAACAACTGGCGGAAGCGTGACTGAAACAGAAATCAACTCGACAGAGACACGCAATAATGAGCTGGGGAACTCTGGCCAGATCAGAAAAGGAAGGGATTTAGCAGACTCTGGGAACTGTATATCCAAAAACGTAGGCGACTCACGTTCACGTGCGCTGCCTTCCGCCGGATTTGCGCCGCTCTTCTTACTTCTGCCGGCCGTCCACTGGACTTTGGTGGAACGGCTCATGTGTGTTTTTTCCCCAGCTCAGTTTTGCCTGGAAAGGAGCCCTTGCCTCTTCGGTGCGAAGGGGCCCACGGTCATTCCCTTGGCGGCCCGCCGGGCCTCGTGGAGGTCGCTGGTGGCCCTCGGCGCGTTATGGTTTGCAATATCCTGTGTTATTCCTGACGATTTGAAACAAGTTTCCTGGCCCCGGACGGAAAGCTCAGGACGCCAAGGGGACTATGCTAGGCGATGCGAGCTCGCGAAACGCAATTGTAATTGTTAGCGCGCGCTGCACAACGCGGTGCAATTACTGACGCAAGAGTCGCTCTGATGTGGTATACAATGTTATGGTATACCCACGCACGGCATGCGCTTCTAAGTTTACAAGGCTGACCCATGCACCGTCACGATCTGTTGCAAACTGTATATAACGAGATGAAAGTAGCACGACACACTATGCGATACAACGGCTGTCATGCCATGCGCTTGCACGCCATGCTATACAACGCTACGCCATGTTATGCGGCACCATACCGCGTTGCTTCTGGAAATTCGGGAGCCACGCTGTACGGTCCTATATGCTGCAGAGATACGGTATGCGATGTCACGCTCTGTGCTGATTAACTGCGCACTGGACCGTATATCGTTGCTTTGCGACCTTCCTCGATGCATTGAGCCAGGTGAATGCGTGGGGAGTTGGAAGGCTTCTGGGCGGCCCAGTCTCGCCTGGTTAGTTTAGTCTATGCGTGGTTGGAGCGGTGCCAGTGCAGTTGGGCCCCGAATAAGAACAAGGGATAAGGCGCGTTGCGTATCATAAACTACGGGGTTACGGGTCCCCTGACGCGATGCGCTCCCGCTGGGAATGGGAACGGGCGCCGTGGCGCAGAACATATTACGACTGATGAAATGCAGCCGGTCCTTACGGATCTCTTCTTGCGCTGCGGCTGCTGGACCGCAGGAGACTGGACTCGTGGGTGTTCCGCAACTCCCTGTCCTGTGCGATGTCATGCCAGTTGGGCGTAAACGAACGGAGGTCGCCCTCCCAGCGGAGCTACCGCGCGGGCTTCGGACCACGTGGCTTCCCTCCGACATCCATGACGGCGCACCGCTCTCTCGCCGCTGCGGTCCTGTGGCAGAGCCTGGTTCCGTCCGTGCCACGGGCCAATCATACTCTGAATCCTGTTCTCCTCTGCACTCGGCAGATGGTATCACCAACCAGCTGCTGCAACCCGGACGGCCAGAGGGCCTTGCAACTCCGCGTAGCATCCTCACGACTGGCCCCAACTGCGCCGATGCCAGGGGCCGACCCTACGAGGAAAATCCTGGAGGCCTCGCGCGGGATCTTGAGACGCAGTTGACGTCGGATCGCGTCGGATGCTCGCTGGATGCACGTAGGACTCACGTTGGGCCCACGTCGGAACATCGCCGCGCGAATACCCTCCCACATCTCACGGGGCGAACGTGGGGGCCAGGTACGATTGCGCGCCGCGCCGTGCCCCTGGGATTGTCCTCACAGCCAACCCATCATCGAGACCTCTGGCTGCAAGAAAAACAACACGGCCCCGAGGGGAGGCATGGGGGGGGGGGGGGGATGCGGCGGCCGCTGTGTGTTGGGCATGGGGCCGAGGAGCCCGACCCCCCCCCGAGGGCTCCGCGGGAGGAGGCCGATGCCACTCTCCCACGGGGTGGACGGGCAAGACTCCAAAGTCAGGAGAGCACGGCCGGCGCGGCGGAGACAGCGGCCTGGGCCCGGGCCGAGAGGCCCGGGGGCGGCACGTGGCAGGAGAGAGGGGAGAGGAGAAGGAGAAAGGAGGAGAGAGGAGAAAGAGGAGGAGGTGCAGGAGGAGGAGGAGCAGGAGGAGGAGGAGGAGGAGGAGCAGGAGCAGCAGGAGGAGGAAAAGGGGGGGGAGGATGAGGTGGAGGAGCGGCAGAAGGGCCAGGAGACCGGTACACGAAGCACCGCGGCGGCAGAGGAGGCGGGGACGCAGCAGCGGGCATGCGCCGAGCGCGAAGTGCGCACAGCATGCAGGCCAACTACTCTGGAAAGGATGTTAATCGACGGGTGGGCGACTAACCTTCCGACGGAGCTTGCCCACTCCCCCCCCCTCCTCCTCCTCCTCCTCCTCCTCCTCCTCCTCCTCCTCCTCCTCCTCCTCCAACCCCCCCTCCACCCGTTCCGACAGCACGTGCCCAACCCCCCCAGCGGATCCAAGGGGGGGACGATTATTGCCCCGTCCAGAGTACACGCGAGCATGACCCAACGCTACCTTGGGCACGTACTGCAACTCTCCAGCGCGGTCCGGGTCCCCGCGCCCCTCAATTTCAATGTTAAGCGCGTAGCGCCGCGCGATCCGATTTTTCCGCCATCGGCCGCGGCCGGCTGAACATTGAGATCGTGTGTCCAGGGGGAAGGGGGGGCGAGACATTGAACAGATGAGAGCATTGCTTTTCCAGGCGGGTTGCTGGCAAGAGCGAACTCTGTTGCGTGGCTTGCCGACCGTTGTGTGCGACGCGGCAGTGGCGGCATGCGTGCTTGAGTTTGCCCTCCCCGCGCCCCCCGAACACCGCGCATCACAGGTCACTCTGGCGAAAGGTCAATCTTACGCGCAGCCGAGCAGGAGGGGGGAGGAGGACCGCCATCGAAACATGGATTGGCGGCGCTGGAGAGGACTGGGCAGGAGCAGTCCAGCGGAACAGCGGGAGACAGGGTCAACAGAACGGGGCTGCATCCTGCTGAGAGCAGCACGGGGATCGGGTGAGTGCGCGTTTTTCACTGGATAACGGGGGGTGGGCGAGAGGAGCAGGACAAGGAACAGCTTGATCATCCGGAATTTGAGTAACAAATAAAGACAGAGCGAAAGAGAGAGAGAGAGAGGAGAAAGAGAGAGAGAGAGAGAAGAGGGGAAGAGGATGAGAAGAGAGGGAGGGGGAAGGAGAGAGAGAGAGAGGGAGAGAGAGCGAGAGAGAGAGAGAGAGAAAGAGAGTGAGAGTGAGAAAGTAAGAGGAGAAGGAGGGTGACAGGAGGGACATGGTGGAGGAACATGAGCAGCACAAGACGCGAGGGAGGACGAGGAGAGTGAGTAAGAACAGGAAGAAGAGCAGGAAGGGCAAACACTGCAGGATAGGATGCATGGATGATGACGACGATGGGGACGAGACGCAGGAAGAAGGCGTAGATTACGGAGAATAGTGGGGGTTCAGAAAGCAAGACCCCTGGCCGCAGCCACCCGCAACTATGATTTGGACCCACCTGTTGCCAGGAAACCAAATGATCGAACACGAGCAAGCATTGCACAAGAGCAAGAGCGCGAGCTTGGGCAAAGGCCAATACCAATGCCGTGTGATGCTACGGCTCAGTATCAACACATTGGTACTGCCACCTCGTCACATTTCAAGGCCCAAGAGATTCTGCCAACTTCATACGTGCACATGGTCTCTCCGCCGTCACCGTACCTCCGCGCGGCTACTAGAGGGTGCCTCGAGTGCGTCTTCCTCTGCCACCTCGCCTTCAGAGTGGCCCGTCAGCTTATCCGCCTCACGGGTGATATCCTCGACGTCACTCTCTGTCACCGCCTTTGCCTGCTTTGAGGCGCCCCCGGCGGTGCTCTCGCCCCGGGAGAGCACTGCAATGACAAGGGCGGCAACAAAAGCACGCGTGAGCACAACACAGAGTGCAGCGATTATGACAGACACCCAGAACAGAGGAAACCGAATAATGGTCGCCAGCAAGTGGGCTGTGTCCATCTGTCCAGAAGGAAGTCCCCCGAGGCAAACATTGGTCTGAGCTGTTGGTAAACCTGGATGTTTAAATATCCCCTCGCTTGTCCGACCCGATGGCTTGAACAAACGTCCACCACACCCACATGCATGTCCATGTACCGATGGGAAACTCGATCGCCTTGACGACTCTGCTCTGGACACCAGCTCCGGCAGGACACCGACATGCGCTTGGGCACGGCAATTGTCATACATAGGCAAGCGCACGCCGTTGGAAATCCGCATCCCCTGTAGAGAAGTGCCGTGGCCACTTTGCGATGCAACAACGCCTGTCAACACAACGCCCCCTGGGTCGACTAGGACCAAACTACGGGATCGCGACCAGATGATGGTCAATGAAGTTAGCAAGGGCTCGCAGACTCTTCCTGCGCAAGACAAGGAAGGTGCCAATACCTCGTCCAACTCAAGCACCAAAAGATTGTCCATTACTCCGAAATTGTTCGGAAGCTCCGCTGGGGAGAGCAGACAAGTCGCTCGTGTCAAATACATGAGCGATTCAAGCTGGCGTGCATACGCCCCATAACTGGGCCCGAACCCCACATTACAATCTGCGACCCTTCCGCGCCTCGCAGAACCCGGAACCATTGATGCCACCCCCCTTCCCCTCCTTCTCGAACGACTCCCTGAAACCCAGACCCCCGGCAGCATGATTTGTTCATAACGTCGACCCCCAGAGGTCTCGACCCATTCCCCGGGACCAGGACTCAATCCTGAGTCCATGTCTGACAGTCCCGGGGCCCGATAAGGGACCCCAGAAGCTGAAAGGTGCGACGAGCCGTTCGTCGTGATCCTTTCTTGCCTCCAGGGTGTCTGAGGAGGGAGGCCTGGAAAAGAGCCGCGCCAAGCGCGCGCGGTCCCCCAGAGGCTCCCCGAGGTCTCAGGGGGTCCCCCCGAGGCCGTCGCACCCCCCCCCCCCCCGCGAGGGCCTCTGGGCGCCTCGGCTGGCCGCAGGCGTCCGAGAGGCTCGGGCCTCGACCGTCGAGCCTCGACCCTCGCGGATGGGGGTTCGAGCCCAGGCAGCCGACGACGTGGAGTGGTCTACTGCGCGGCCCGAGAGGTCCCGACCCCCCGAGGGGAGGCTCTCGTCCATGGTCCCTGCTTGACGGTCCTGGGCCCCTCTGACGGGCCCCAGGGGCCAGAGTCGACAAGCAAAAAGAGCTGGGGTTCAACAAATCATGTAGTCGGACCGCAAATTGACAATATATTCGAATCCTGTGACCCAGGATGCCCCCCGGACCCCCCGAAATGAAGATTGATGGCGTGACAAAAGAGGGGGCGTGAGTGGACAGAAATATTCAAACCCCCCAAGCGCCGCCATCACTCAGACCAACGTGGATGTCGAGGGCGGGGGGGGGTTGATTCAGAAGCCCCCTCGCGCGTGTAAGAGCTCGGCCATGTTGTCCATCTACTGGAGGCCTGGGGAGGCGAAGGGCTCGGGTCGTGGTTGCGTCCGAGGGCCCCGCGAGGCATCACGAGGCCCCCCGTGCATCCCTCCCGCGGGGCCCGCGTCCTCGTGCACCACCTCGGGGGTGACCTCGTGCTTGACCACGTCCAGCTTCTCCGGCGCCACACCTCGGAGGAACCAACACTGGGCCCAGACCCCTTTTGGGAGGGGGCCGAACTTAGGAGCGCCAGAAACATTAGGGATTGGAGTTCTGTTCTGCAACTGTGTCGAGCCAAGCCGCTCAGATGTATGATGATCCCCAACGCAAAGACGGGGACCTCAGTGATGCCACATCTTCAGTGTGTTATTAGGGTTTTGGGTTCTTTGGGTCTCGATGAACCTCCCCCCGACTCCTCGCGCCGTGGGAAACCCACACTTCCGACGACATGATTCCCAGCTATACTAAGGTGTTGGGTCAGCGCCCCGCGTCCTCCTCCTCCCACTGCCCCATCCCCCTCCTGCCACTGCCCTCCGCATGCCTATCCCGACCCCATGGGGAGCTCCATCGAAGGCCCCAGTGGCAGCGCCTGCATGGAGGCCCCGCCCCCTGTTGGCACACCCCTCACACGCTTCGTGGTCGCAGAGGGAGCGCAATCGAAGGCCCCAGTGGCAGCGCCTGCATCGCGGCCCTGCTGCCATGTGGTACACCCCTCACACGCTTCGTAGCCACATGTTGAGCTCTCTCCCTCCTCCGTCCCGCCTGCCTTGCGATACTCTGTCCTGCATCCAGCTGGGTCCTTCGCCAAGGTCAGTTTTGTTCAAAACGGCGTTTTTTTCCTCGATGTTCGGCCATCGACGGCCCTCTTCGGGACCCTGCGACCATCAAGCATCGATCCACGACGTACAGCTACCCCCTGGGAAGCAGTCGTGAGCTCTGGCGCCGCGGAGCGACACCATCACCTCGACGGATGTCTGGAACATCACAACGGTGTTGGGCAAGTTTCGGCCTCTGGGGGCCCTCACCGAGCCCCAGGCAAGGCTAAACCTAAACGGTGTCTTTCGTCTTCGCTTGGTTTTTCGTTTTTCCTAGTTTTGCCCTCGCTTCGCCTCGACTGCAAGACAAAACGGTCCACGAGCTGGCCAGTACACCGTTTTGGTCCTGCCCTGGCCCCGAGACCACCGCGAAAAACGGCTGGGGATAGGACACCGCCGCCCGGCCACACGCCCACACTCCCAGGGCCCATGCGGTGAAGGACGGCCGGGTCACGACGGAGCCGAGGGCCCTGTCGCAAAACGAGGGCGGCGCCGAGTTGCGGCAACGCCAGGAATCCCTGACCACCCCCAGGGGGTCTGGAGGACACATCGGGCACCGCGACCGCTCTGGTGCTCTGAAAGCATTCCAGCACGCTGCTCGCCAACATTAACTCAGAATCGCCCAGATCACCCACGACCGGCAATGTGCGGGAACGAATTTCGGCCGCGCCAAATTATGGTCGCGACTGGAGGGGTCAACTTTCGGTAACGAAGAAACGGCGCGTCAGGGGCTAAGCGAAAATTTCGAAGACGTCGACAGCTCTCTCGTCACCCAAATTCGCGACCAGAGGCAGAATTTCGGACGCGACCCGGGTTCGTCCAGAGCGGGGCCGGAAATCTTCGATAACGGCAGATCTGAGCAGAGTCAAGCATCTTACATCGTATCCATATCTGACGGTCCTGGCCCTGCCGAAAACGGCCCTCCAGACACCGAGCGCTGGGATGCGACGTCGCCGATAGCAGCATCGCGCCAAAGATCACGACCTGGGAGGCCTACATCTAATGTTTATGCTGCGCCTCTCAAGCCAGATCGATCTGCGAGGGCCCCGAGAACCGAACTCGGGCGAGAACGTCGCACCGCAGGATCGCAAGGGAAGCCGAAGACATGAGAAACTGGATCTTGATTTCTTGCATGGGGCGCGGTGTATGAATTAATAGACATGCACACCTTTTCCAGCGCCGCCGGAGCGGCGAGGACCCGGCGCGCACGCCGCCCGGGTGGCGGAGGAGCAGCAGGAGGAGCAGGGGGGGGAGGGGGAGGAGGAGGAGGAGGAGGAGGAGGAGGAGGAGGAGGAGGAGGAGGAGGATGAGGAGGAGGAGGAGGAGGAGAAGGAGGACATTCGAGGACATTCGAACGAGGGGCTCCGCGGTCGACTCGGCCGCCGCGGCCCCCGCCCGCGCAGGCCGCGCGGGCTCTCAGGGGTCGCGGCCCCGCCCCCTGAGCAGGGCGGGCGTCCACCCCACTGGCACTCCAGGCCAGAGTATCCCTGCGGGGCCGTAGCCCCGTGCCATGAAGTCAACCACGAGGTCGTCGCCCAGCTGCAACTCGTGGTAGCCGCCCGCCGTTAGGCGGGATCGTCCCATCTGGCCAATTCTGGCCAGCCTTTGGTGGTAGTCCTTGTCGTAGCCGACGAAGTACAGTAGTCCCGCTCTGCGTGATCTTGTTCCTGCACTCCGTCGCCAGTAAGTTCACCCTGCCGTGTCCGTAGTCGTTGTGGGAAGCCACCGCAGCACAATTCCATCACCAGAACTGCCCACGGGCAACTGCAATACTGTGGCTGTCGTGGATCACTTTGTCTTTGATCTCAATCAGCTCGTTGTTGGGAACACGGACTGCATGTCAATGATCTGCTCGGTGTGTCTCGTACTGCCTCCCGATGCACACGTTAGCCTTCATCCAGTCGGCCACGCTGTACTTGCCTGGGGTTAGCCAGCACTCTTGGCATACCCATTGCCCTTTCTTCTTTCGCATTATGTGGCCCGACTCCTTCTCGATCTGATCTCTTCTTTCCTTTGCTATGTTCTTAGGCATCTGCTCGGGCCTCTCAAGCTTGGTGGGGTCCGCATCCTTGCACACCTCGTGGATGATCGCTGCTGCCCTCCTTTGGGCCCTCATAAGTGTAGTCTCCACTTCCACCAACGCCTTGACCTCCCGATTCGCCGTCGAGGTGGGATAAGCACTTCTGGACACGTACTCCATACACACCGCCAGACCGCCTGCTGAGCATAAGTGTTATCCTTTCCCACCATGGTCGCTGAGCTCCTCGGGGCTGCTCGTAATACTTGAGGGTCCAGCCATTCATAACCAGCTGGCAGTCCGTGATGATCAATAGCGGGCCTCGCGTCAGCGCCAGTGCCCAGCATAGTCCTGCATGTTCAGCAGCGGGTACACTTTGTTCTCCATCTACGGTGCCATAGAACCCGATATGGTCTGCGCCTTCAATGAAGCCCGTGCTGTCGTTCGGCAGGCTGGCCTTGTAGATCTCGTGGGCCACCACATGCATGGCTGCTGGTCGGCCCTCATCATTTGTCTTCATAATGTTCATGCATTTCCCGGTCGAAAGTGGGTGCTCGGTCTGACAATAGTTCGCGGAACTTGGCCTTGATGTCCGCAACGCTGTCGGACCAGTGGGGGATGTATGCTTCTCTTTCCCAGCCCGCAAGGGTGAGGGAGTAATCGTACACGTCTCTCCGCTTCTTCTTGGACGATCTCCATTGCATATCACAAAGGTCCTTCGCGATCTGGCTAGTGCTTCGGGTCTGGTATCTTGCTTTGAGTGTCGTAGTGCTGCTTGTTCTGGTTGTCGCAGGTAGCTTCCCATGTACGGTTCGCACCACATCTTCCAGTTAGCTTGGTTCCTGGTCTCGTCTAGGTCGATGTACACCGTCCATGTAGCTGCCCATATGCCAAGGTCGTGCATGATGCCCTTGCTCTGCTCCTCCGCTTCTGTGTCCGTTGGTGCAATATCCTCTGCTTCCTGGCACACCCCAGCTGGGCTCCCTTGTGCCACGAGGGCGCTGAACCACGTGTGCACCTGCCCTGGCCGCTTCCATCGTTCATCTCGTAGCTGTAATGTGAGGCCCCATCCCACTCGATTGATGCGCATGTCGCTGCTGGTGCCTGATCCATCTACGAAAGCCATGCTGCACTGAACGGGATCCATCGTGACCAAATCGCTTGCTATTAAGTTGGGTCCTCTTGTTGCTGTCGTCCAATAGCTGCCACTCCAATCGCCCCATGCTGGTGGATCAGGTACAGGATTCCTGTGCTTGGGGGGTAGCCCTCGTAGCCAGTATGCCTCCGTCTCTGGGTTGTCGTGCATCTCCTCTAAGGCCTGCTGACATAGCGACTGTGACTTGACCACCGCGTCAATCTGGAGGTTGTCAGTCATGTCGCACTCGTAGATCCTGTGCTTCAGCGTGTCAGGCGCCTTAGTACAACGCGGACAAACTCCATCTGTCTGGTATCCTGCTGCTTTACATCGTTGCCCTGTCCACATCGTGCCACAAGCAAGTGCTTCTAACGCGCCTGCTTCTTGGATTCGGTCAGCTTTTCGTGGCTTCTGGAGCGTATTCTTGATCATGGTGGTGTCCATCCCGTGCTGCATGCCCTTGCCGTAGTAGTGGTCCGCTGCGTTGGTCCAGAGCTGAGCTTGCATGTCCCTGGTGATGGACTTCATGATGTCGCGAAAGTCGAGCACTCCCTCACTCTGGAACCTCCACGTCTCGCCACTAGCATCATCCCACCCACCTGGCATGCGTGGATTCCACCCCCGCTGTTGCAATGAGAGAATAAGTGCCCCCATTGGTCCTGTCACTGAGTTCCACTTTCCACGGGTTCGCATCTGGGCCAGACGTTCGATATTAGCTTGCCAGCCTTGTCGTCGTCGTTGATGTGCTGAGGTATCCTTTTGCCACATCTGTACCCATTCACGTACTTGTCGCTGCAGGCACGCTGTAGCTGGCTCGTTCTCGCCGTTAAAAATGATGTTGATTGTTGATGTGCACCTGCCGCCAATTGTAAATCCAACCATATCTGCCGCCTGAGCTCGCGCTTCACGCGCTGCAGTTGGACTGAGCCCTGTAACTGGCCAATCGTAGCTCTGCTTGGCTCTCAGATTGGAATTGAAGAGCATCGCCGTCCTTCGCCGCCATTTGCCCTTCTGCTTGCTGAAGATCCTGGCACGCTTTGCGCGTAGCTTTGCCTGTGTAGTCCTGGTAGTGCGCGTGGCTGTGACGCGCTGCCTTCCCAGTGCCGCATCTATGCCCAGGTCCTTGACGAACTTGGGAGTCTTAATGCTGATGCCCTTGCCTTTGAAGTGCTTCACGATGCACTTCTTGGTCACGTCGCAGTTCGCGAGGGGCGCTGACTTTC